TAAAGTTATTTATGAAAATGATTTACTTATGTAATTATTGATAAAAAATCATAATTTATGAAATTATTGATAAAATCAAATGCCCAAATATTAAGGTGATCAACGTTCTCCTATTTATGTTGGACAGCGCTGTGAAAATTTTAATAAGCTTTTGCACTGCGCCTTTTTTGGTAAAAAAATACGACGTTGGTCATCTTACAAATATAAGTTTAATAATAATTCAAATATTGCATTATTGAAGACGTTAAATTTGTTTAAATTTATTGTAGTCGTTTATAGTACATTTTCCACTATCATTGGTTTTTAATTGTAAGGGAAGATAAGCAGGCTCCTAAGATGGAACCTGCTCATCCTCCCCTATATTATGTAAAACAACGTGTACTAGTTGTGATAAACCTAGTTTCAGGCGCTTTACATTTTTAAAAGTAGGTTCATAGCTTTGTTATTTACTAACTAAGCAATAGGGTACCGTTATGGTGACGTCAAATTGTTTGTTTTACCGAATATCAATCCAACAACCACTAGCGTTTTTAAGAAATTCTATTTTTTCTGTGCAATGTTTGTCTGCATTTCGATCCCAGACAACTTTGCAAAAATCTATTTTTAGAACCGTAACGGTACCTTATTTCGATCCCAGACAACTTTGCAAAAATCTATTTTTAGAACCGTAACGGTACCTTATTTCGATCCCAGACAACTTTACAAAAATCTATTTTTAGAACCGTAACGGTACCTTATTTCGATCCCAGACAACTTTGCAAAAATCTATTTTTAGAACCGTAACGGTACCTTATTTTGATCCCAGGCAACTTTGCAAAAATCTATTTTTAGAACCGTAACGGTACCTTATTACTACTAAACTAAATAGAGTTGCTTTGTAACTTAAACAACTTTTTAATTAGACATTTTAAAATGCTAAATGATAATCAGTTGGTTATGAATGTACTAGAGTTATCTTATTCTTGTAATATTTTTGACGCAGATTTGTGGAAACGTGTTATAAAAAAAGTAGAGATGCTTTGAAAAATAAAGATCAGAAAAGCAAGTTTTTTTAATTAACTAAAAACTTGTTGTTTCTTGTAAAGTTTCTTGTTGTTTAACTTAAACTTTAAGTAAACTTTACTTAAACTTTAAGTAAAGTTTCTTGTTGTTTAAGTAAATACTGTTATTATTTTATATCAAGTCTGTAATGAATAAAACTCTAATAACATGTTCAAAAAATAAACAAAAACTTTACAATAAATTTTTGAAAAACAGAAGTGAAGATAATGAAAAAATATACAAAAAATATAAACGGTTTTACGAAAATCTTCTCATAAAAGCTAAAAAAAACTATTATAGTGAAGAACTTACAAAAAACAAATTCGATGTAAAAAAAACATGGGATGTAATTAATAATATAATGGGAAGAAACAAAATAACTACGGCTTTACTGCCTCAAAGAATAAATACCAATAAAACTGATATTTATTGTCCTTTAAAAATCTAGAATGAGTTAAACAAATACTTTACAAACATTTTCCAGAACATTGCTGAAAAAATTATAACCACATCCCACTAAGAAACAATATCAGTTAGTGGGTATAAACGTGGTGCAACACTTGCGCAATCCATTACTAGAACTTCTAATGTTTTGTTGGGGATCTAAATTTAAATTCAAAATTTTTGATATTTAGCGTTTTTAAATCAAATGCCATCATTGGTTCAAACCCTGGTTAAATTTCCGATAAAAAGTTGAAAATGGACCACCCTAAGCTACATAGTCAAAAATGTCTTGAATATTTGTATATTCAAACAAATATTTTTGGTTTTAAGAGTTTATATCAGTTCTCAACAACATTTTTAGGAATAAGGTAAAAAAACGTTTGAGTTGTAGACAATTTATTATACAATAATCTTCTACAATAAGTAGAATAAATCAATAAAAATAGTTTTATATGTAATTAGTTCACGTGGGTTTAACTAAAACAAGACGCCCTATGAAAATTTAATTTTACAAGCTTTTATCTTTAACTTTAAGTTTAACTTTTAAAATAACATATAGTAATTAATTGAGTAAATAACTGAATAATTAATGATATTTACAAGTTAAGTGGTTAGGGAATAATAAAAGTACTTTTAGGTGTTCATCAGTTATATTTACCAATAAATCTAGTCTATTGAAATAAATTCACTGTTTTTTGTGAACATTATAAACTATGTCTTAAGAAATGTTTGTTAGATACAAACGTATGCACAAAAATATTGTTTTTAAATATTTTTATTTGGCATTTTGCCCCAGCCATGGAACATGATAAAGTAAAATAAACAAAAAAACAAAAAAATATAACTCCTTGTATAATTGTTTGATTTTTGAACTTTTAAATTTCATTAATGATTTTAAGTTTATTATATTTTTATAGGGTACCGTTTTTGTGACGTCAAATTGTTTGTTTATCCGAATATCAATCCCACAGTTATTGCGTTTTTAAGAAATTCTATTGTTTCTGTGCAATGTTTGTCCGCATTTCAATCCCAGACAACTTTGCAAAGATCTATTTTTAGAACCGTAACGGTACCTTATTTCGATCCCAGACAACTTTGCAAAAATCTATTTTTAGAACCATAACGGTATCCTATTATAAGTATATACATTTATATATAAGTTATATATTTTCTTATAAGAAAACGTTAAAAATACAACAAATATTATTATATATTATATTAATATTATTATATATTATATTAATTAATATTATTAAAAATAAAACAACTGTAAAATTAATTTTTTGAGGGGTAGGGGGACATTTTGCATCACTCTACCCTATATCTAAAATAACCTTAAACGTTGACGTCTATTAGAGACTAAATATTTAGACATGGCAACAACATCTAAATAAAGATTTTTGTTGATTACAATAGCAGAATTTAATTTTTAATCAGACCTTAAACCGAAAAAAAGATATGGTTATTATTGTTAAGTATAATAAAAGAGTATATTATTAAAAAATATGAGCGAGTATAATTTTAAATATACAAAATGAAATAAAAAATGCCATAAATATTAATTTTTATCTTTTTATAGAAAATAATAATGATATACATTCAATTTTATTTTTTACTGAATTATTATATAAACAAACAAAAAAATTAGCAAAAAGGCGTATATAATGTTAAGTTTTATTTTTACAATAGTTTTTTATTGTGAGTAAAAAATTTTATTTAGTAAATCGAATTTGTCGAGATTAGTAACATTATTTAGAATTAGAGACTCTTAAACAATAAAGATTATCAAAAATTAAATTTTTATATATATGTATATATATATGTTTTTTTTTTTTTTGGTGAGTTTATACGAAGGTTGACTGATGGTGATTAGCATTACTGTAACGCAGTGTATTTTTATTTAAGTTCACAAAGTATCGATTTAATTTTACAATAAAGTTCATAAAGTATACCATCTTACGATAATCTAACGATTTTTAGCTGCTAAACAATGCTTCAATTCGAAGAAGTAGCACAAATAACTGTTGCTGCAATACAAGAGACCAAAGATCATTCAAAAAGTTTGCTTTTCTTTTTTATACTAATAAATAATGTGAGTGCGTGTAAAAATGTAAAAAAGAGGTAGGGGGGCTAACAAAGTCGCAGCTTGATAATGCTCTTTGAAAGACATAATAACAAAAAGGAAGAAAAGAGTTTAAAAGATTATATTTTCTAAGTTTTATTTTTAAAACAGAATTGATCTTTTCTAAATATGTAAAAAATTAATAAAACTTTTTTAACTAAAAAAAAATTCCTAACTTTTTCAATCTAGCAATCTAGCAACTATAACTATTACTGATTAGGCTTCTTAAATTACAAATTTGAAAAGTGAAACTTTTCCGGAAAAGCACAATTTAACTACTTTTTTTCCGATTGATTTTCACCCCCTGGCGTTGCACAGTCATTAACAAAACTTAATAAATAACTTTTAGAACTACAAACTACAACACCATTAATTACTGCTTTAAACCACTATAAAACCACTACGACCACCA